GGCAGAGTCAAGAATTTCACCTAGCGCGCCGCTGCTGAATTCCCCTTTGACGCCAGGCCTTTGGCCCGAAGCAGTTTAGCTCATTTACCGCCCGACTTGCGCGTGAAAATCTTTTGACGTATCTTTACCGACGCCTTACGGCACTTTTGCTCTTGCCCAGCGTTTATTGACTCTTCCGATGCGTCAAAACGCGCCTAAAGCTCGTGTGTCCCTATCATATATTTTATTTTCCACTATATATTCGATACATAATCCTATATCGTAAAAATGAAAAGAGGAAAAAGTTAAATTGACATTTTTATATAATTATTGTTTTAGAATTACGGTGAGAGGGTCTGCAAGTTAATAAAAATATCCTAAAATTGTCAAAAAATAAACACGTACCTATAAAGTTATTTCTTGTAAAATCGTTTTTCTTGAAAGTATTTTAATTATCGAGCCACAAATTAAAATTACATTAAAGTTCAATCCGTTCTCGAGATAGGAACAAAAAAGTGTCTTATTATTTTTTTTATTTTTTAAAGTTTAATTCGCGAAAGACATTTTCGACGACTTAGTCAGTTCTTAAAGTATTAATACTTTGAATTATCGACGAGAATCAAGTTTACATTTCATGATTATTTTAATTATAATATCCATTTCCTATGAATGGTCAGCACGTTCGCAAGAACATCGTTATGTAAAAATTGCTATTTATTATGCTATCCATAAAGTCTGCGCAAAGCGAAATTTTTATCAAATATTTTGAAAGCGCTTGAAAACGGCTGTTTTCCGCAATTTTCACGTAAAAAGTCTATCAATATGTATAGAGCTGCCTTTTTCATAGTATTAACATCGCTAAATGTATGATAATATCTTTGTGCGTTGTCAAATAACTCGCTATCACCTTATAGATATGGTAATTGGCTATTGATGTATGCTAACGAAGCCTTTGCAATGTATTCATTACTACGGAGTGCGATAAGTGCAAGTAATTTTCACAAGAATAATACATACATTTTCCTCCAAAGAGAAATAATATTTATCGTTTTATCGCGAGTCTACTAAAAACCTAACTCACATTAAATATATTTTATAGTAATATATTCCCTATATTTTTGCGTTATATCTTGTATCTAGCAAATTATGTATTTTTTTCTATGACTTTGATTCATTTAGTTTAGATTATTGTTTACAAAAAATATTGAGGAATATTATTTTTTGTAATTTTTTTCAATTTATAATATTAATATCATTATAAATAATATAATCTTTAATATCATTCGCGAAATCATTTCATATATTGTATATTCATTAAATTATAATATCCATTAAAAGTTAAATAAATAAGATTTTATTTTTCTATATTTCTGAAGTTTAATTCTCAAAAATTCACTACATTGAATCGCTCAATTAATAAATAAAACATTGTTTCTTCATTTTTACAATTAAACATTGTTTCAACATTATTAAAAAAAATAATTTCAATTTGATTAAAAACTTCGTGTGTAAAATGTATCTCTGCTCTATGTAAATCTAAAATATCACTATATATAACGTGACCTCATATATTATAATTTTCATACAGGAAACAGAGCGTTAAGTTTAAAACTCATTTAGCTAAACACATAATTGCAACATCTCTTCAGGGAGAAGTTCATCATATATGTATACGTGTATGGACACTTATTTACAGAAAAACCCATCTTAGCGTAGCTGTATTAATCTCATTTTTGATTTTCGTATTTTTTTCAAAATCCGTGCGTATCGCGAGATCATATCGAATGCACGTAAGCTGTTTATTTCCACTCGGTGGCCACGTGCTGTTGCAAACCGAAATAGTCAACCGACTGGGAGTCATTTTCATGAGACGTGAGAGTAAAAGAAATTATAATTTAATTTTAAATCATACTATGGGGAATAAAGTCCTAAAGCTTTATAATATTTTTTTAAACTTGATTGTGCGGCACGAGAATCATAAAAATATCAACGATATCTGCGAATTGATATTTTTATCTTCAATTTAAGATTTTTCAAATATCATTAGTCTTGTAATTTATAATATGATAAAATTGACGTGCCTTTTAAAATTAACATATAATTATTGGTATTTTTGTTTTTCGTGTTTGCAATTTCTTTATACAAACAATATTATATTTTTAATTTTTTATTTTACAAAATATATATATATATATATATATATATATATATGCATTAAATTTTTTCCGAACTCGTAGGATTATTATGTTTCAGTGAAGTAGCGATTCATCTAAGAGATATTTATTTAATTTAATTAATCAGCCTTTTTGTATCTTTAATTTTAATTTAAATAAATTTTAATGCAAACTAATATTGCTTTTTACTTTATTTGCTTTCGGGTTTTCTGTGTCTTACTTTATTTTTTGTATGATGCTAATAATTCTTAATAATGGATAGCCGTCAGCTGTAAATTATTTAACCTTAATTATTGCTATCAGTCAGTATTATAAACAATACCTCGTAAATTAATGCTTTAATAAATTCAACATTCAAAAGTTAGCAGATAAATATTATACGGGTTCATAAATATCTAATGAAAAAGTAGATTTGAAATCGTGTTTAATTGCGCGTAGCAGAATGTCACAAAGGCCATAATTTGATTTGGAATATGTATAAATTAGAAGAAATACCGCTGGGATTTGGGTGCGATTTGGATTATCGGTTAAATACGCAAACGGGTGAGTAAGATAATGAATGTACTCAGCTGTGCAAATCGCCGCATTTAACAATGCCTGGCTGTTATCAAATTAATGTTCCGCGCCCTCCGTTATTATAATTATTCTGGCAGGCGTCGCGCGCGCCAGAAAAGTGGCCAATGCAAGACGTAATTTTGAAAATTTCAACGGAACTTTCTGCCGTGCCCTTACTTTGCACTTCCGCCGATCTTACCGTATAATTTTATCGTCGTCTGCAAGACGAGAGGATGCAGTAATTTTCTCGGAGAACATCACAAACGGTGCGCCCGAAATTCTAACTATGCAGTACATTGTGAATTCCATAAAGAGCTCGAAAGTTTATTTATTCCTCTTGTTACGCGATATTTATCTATATTTCAAAGAAAAGTTATTTTATCATTTTTTGTTTTATATATTTCATTTCTATTTTTCTTATTTTATCTTTAATTGATATATAATAGAATAAACTGTGCAAAAGAGAAAGAAAATTCTATTTAAAAAATCTGTGTTATATAAAGAGACTGCAGCTTTTTTAAGAGCGAAGAGGATTTATTCTCTTATTTTGCAGCAGAGATTCCGTTTGATTAATCAACTCAATTAGAATATTTTTTAAGTACTTTAGAAATACTATTCTGGTAATTGTACTTTGTTTCTTTGTTATATCTTATCTATCTTATCTCTCTATCTTTCAATTACTAACACGAGTATTATCATTAACAATGAAAACAATCTGACATATCAATATAATGCGAGGCTACTTTGTAGCAAAGCTGCAATTGCAAAACAATTCAGTGTATGTACGAATCTCAGTTCTCTTATTTACTGCCAAATCCGAATCTCATTTGATATGCGATACTGAAATGCGGCTTCCCCGTCGAAATCACATATCTCGTGTAACAAGTGCGTAATGAGGTTGCAGCAAAATTACATTGTTAGATACGCGCGAGGAATTCATCAGGTCCAGATTTTCGATCGGATTCTCAGACATGTCCGTCAACCTTGATTATTCACGGATGGGAAATTTCGTGATTCCATCTCGCGGCGATGCAATTTGATTTCTTTTGGATACGAGAGAATATTCGTGCACGACACGAGAGAAAATCCACATTCAAAATTCCCTGCTCCATCAATTCTCTTTTCCAACTACCCGTTATATCTCGCGAAAGAACTGCCGCGTAATCACGAGTCTCAATTCGATTCGTAACTTCCTATCCTTGCTTAATGTAATTTCCAAGCTTTTAACTGTTTCCGGAGGCTATTTTCCGTTTCTCCTTGAACGTGAGCGCGATCTTTCATCGGAGCAAGTTTCAAATCTTGTCGGTGACAGCTGTGACATTGGCATCAATCCTTCAGAATAAAATTGACTTATAAAACTTTTACCGTCTTACATCAAGACTCCTACGACAAATATAAAAATATAACGTGGAATTGATAAAGGATCTATCGCACTTGCCGTAATAAAATGAAAAGATTCCTCTTCATCTTACATTTAAATGAACACGCAAATGATTTTGAGTGGATATCTTTAATCTGTGATTATTCTACGAGCATTAAAATGTTTAATTGTTTTTGATTAAAATAACAAATGAAGATTTGATATATTTAACAGCTTCATTTTTTCAATATGTATGAAAATTCATTTAAAAGATTTAATATAGATCAAATATAGATGATATTATCGTCGAAATATTCTAAAATCGAAATAATCTTTTTCATATTTTTCGATAATGCAAACGTACAATCCATAGTAGTGCAATCCATCAGCAATCACACAAAATCAAGATGAGCAATCGATTCACAATTCTTCTCGATTCGTTAGCTCTATAAATCGAAAGGGAAAGTAATATTTTTGCATCGGCCAAGTCCCCCATTCACCCGTCATTTACCGCGGCAAATGGAACGCGCGTGGATGGAACTTCGCAGGCTGAGAGAGAGGTACACGCCGAGAGATGGGTTTTCGAATCTCCGATCGACCGTGACCGTTTGTTTCGAGGATCCTTTCGCTGGCTCGACGCATCGGCGACGAGGACGGCGACGACGACGGCGACGGCGCCGGATGCTTCTCCGACTCGTCGCAGTAGTGGCACTTCCTCCCCACCTTTCCCCGACCAAGTGCATTCAACAGGTATCTACACAACCGATGAGTTTGTGCTACGCTGCCCTGCGCCTCTCACCTCTTGCACCTCTTCAGGGATACTGTGCTATCCGGCGCACACACGAATCCCGCGACCCTCCGCGCGTCTGCGTCAAGGACGCCTGCGTCGATAAGGTAGTCTTGCTCCCAACCTGAAGCGGCTGGCTGTCTCTCGCCAGTGCGCCGTCGACCGTCGAAGGTTGCTGGTCTCCGCTCCGGTATTGCCTTCAGCTTGTCGTCACCGATCGCGGAAATCCGCCCGGGTTTCGGTGTGAACGAGGAAGTGACTGGGATCATCGCGCTGATCCTTGCTCGCGATCGATGAGGTGTTCTTTTGTGCGGACACAGCGGTTGGCTTCTGTCTGAGACTGCGATCCGGTAGTAGTCAGGGTGCTTTAATCCCGTAGTAGAAACCCTTCCTAGATGTACCTTCCTATTTTTACAGTGGGGAAATCTGTGTGTCGATTGGCGAAAGATAATCCGATCGGTTCTTCAAAGGGGATGTCGTTTCAACCGATGATTCGCCTGCAATTGCTTTTTATTTCTCTACTTCTCTAAAAATTGCAAAGAGCGTGGGAGTAGGCGAGAAGTAGGTGTCTAGTAGAATCAAGAATTTTGTCGGTTTTCCTTCCTATTTAATTTGCATTCAAAGAGCCAAACTGACTCATCATCAAAGCTACCGAATCGAGAAGAATTGTGAATCGATTGATGCTCGTCCTGGATGATTTTGTGTGATTGCTGCTCGTTTCTCGACGTTTTAAAGGTCGCCCAGGTGTTCGAGCATTTTTGGAGTTTGTGATCAAGATGCGCAAGACGGTTTTCAACGTGACATACGACAATGCGGTAATGTCTTTTATTGAATAGTCTATTGAAAATTTTGACAGGTGCGATAGAGCCGGTTATTTTCATTATTTTTGATATGACAGTTGCGATGGATCATATTTTTTATCATAATGCATATCAGAAGATAATTATTTCTATCATTTAATTAGAGATATTACGGTGTCATCTCAAAACTTTGCCATTTAGAAGTGTATGTATGTGTTTATTTTAAATATTGTAATCTTTATCCAAAGATTTTAATCACTTTTTGTCTGTGTAAGGTTTTAATCACCTTTTGTCTGCGAATAAATAATCGAAAATATATAATTGATTATACGCACACAAATATATATAATAAATCATTATTTATAATTCGACATATTTTTATTGAAAACATTTTATGTAATTAATTGCTTTAATTCTATCAATTTGAATTTAGAAATAAAGATTCAACCTCTAACAAGTAAATTGATATTAGCTATATTTGTGATTGAGTTTCGTTATATTTGAAATCTCCGAGGTTTCGAAATTCTTTTTTCAAATGTGTAAAATTTTGATTAAATAAAAAGCTTTGCACGATGATTGGTAGAAGCGCCAAATTTTCATTAATGGTGAATAAGTTAAAGATTAAATGCAAAAACAGATATTATAGTATTCAGTTTTATTAAAAATTGTATCATGTTTTCAAAATCTAATTATGGTAAAATGCAAAATTATAGTTAATCGTATAATGGACGTTCTCATAACACAACACCATTATTTTTTATTTAAAGGTAGACATCTTTACAAAGTGATAAATTGCAGTGCTTATAAAGTGCAGTGATAACGAAAAAATAAATATATTAACGCAAGCGTAAAATGCGTATCTGCATAATATCTCTATGTTTAAAGACATCTCTTAAAGAGAAATTATTTTTTTTATACACAAGGATTTTTAATTCTCTCAAGCTCTGTTATTCTGAATTATTTGACAATGAGAAATTCAGCTTAACAGATAAGACTCTTAAACAAAAATTTCATTAAAGCGATTATCATAAAGCTCTTCTCGAAATGTTTTTGAAGCGCATTTGCACCATTTTTCGAGCAAAAAATTGGTACTTAGCTCTTAAATAGAAATTTTCTTCTTTCACGCAAAGACATTTTTCATAATCTACAGCTTCGTAAGTCACATAACAACGGAAATTTAAGAATATTTAAAATTTTTAAATTAAATATTTATTATAGGATGATATGACAATTTTATCTCAAATTTCTTTTTATAATTTTAAAGCTCATTTATAAGTACTTTATGCACAAATTTTGCAATTATATATCGAATGAAAATTTCCTTGTCCACACATAGCTTTTTCATTTCAAGCTTCATTATCGAGTTATTTAAAAATAAAAGTTCACGTATAGATGAGATACCTATTCAAATTAAATTGTTGTTAAAGCGATTTACTTAAAATTGTTTCTTAGAACGGAGTGTTTATCGCGGAAATGTATATGTGCCTGCTAAATGGAGATTTATTTTTTTCTTCCACGCAAAAACACGTCTCGTCATTATCGAGTTGTTTAACTTAACGGATGGAAAATTCCACGATAGAAATAAGGTTCTTAAATTAAATCATTGTTACAGCAATTTAGGCGAAATTTCTTCCTAGATGATTTTCGACGCGCGTTCTCATTCTGACGAGAGCAAGAATATTTGCGAATGTAGGTAGGCGGAAATAGACACCATTGAATTCAGCGATATTAGCATAACCGTTCTCCATCATATTCGCTACGAGAAAATTTAACTTCGTAATATGCGAATTATGTACAAAATACAGCGTTCGCTCGCTCGTTGATAAACCAAGTTAAGCGAAAGAGAGCAGCAGCAAAATTTCGCTTGAGGTCACGTTTCGCGAAATGTTTGCACGAATTCAGCATCGTCGTCGCGCGTGAATATCGTATTTAAAATGGTCGGGATATAAATAAATAAAGAGTCGATCGCCAAACGAGAGATAAATCTGCGCCGATGAGAATTTATTTTAATTTGCATTTAAGCGCGCGGGTGAGAGGAAATATACTATTTCAATTTTAAAGTATACACGAAATACTATCGCTACTATATGGGAATTCTAGTGAACCGTAGCGATTTATAAAATTTCATCGAGCTTTGTCAAGCCAATTTCGGTCTACGCATCGAATTACAAGTGTAATAGAGCAACGAGAGAATTGCAAAAGTGCATTAAATATGCAAACTGAATATCAGATTAATGGTTTTGATACGGGTAGGAGAAATAGTCGCCAATTAAGTTAAACTCATTGAACCGGTGTTACATATCGAATTAAAGGGAACGAATTCACTCTTTTGCGAGTAAGCGTCATAATTTGCATGGTGATTCTGTTTGTGAACCGATAATTATAAATCTGCATCCTGATTTTCGAATATACGTGAATGCAAAATATTTACGAAACACGAACTTGAGATTCGACATCATATTACGTGAATTTGTTTTTTTGTATTTATCCAAAATCGAGAAATCACAGCAAGCATTTTACATAGAGTACATAAATCACATTTCTGAAAGAAAACTGCAAAGATAACAGCAGTTTTTGCAACAACCACAGTCAGTACACATGAAATTATAACGTATAAGGTGCATTTAACAGCGCGCGCAGTAAAGTTTTTTTCTTGTTATCATAATATATAAAACGTCTCCGCATGGAAATTATAATACAAGAAATAATGAGATGTATACGCGCTATTTTAAACAGAATAAATAATTATTCGTGTAGTTATATGTATCTTATAATTTTTCTTCATCGTTTCTAATTTTATCGAGTTACTATATATTTAATTTACTTTATGATAATATTTTAATTAGAAGTAAAAAAAAATGTACAAAAATAAATCTATAATTTTTATATTAAAAAAGCGAATATTACAATAAAATAAAATGTCTGTATTATAGAAATAAAAATTGAAAGAGAGAGATAAGTAATTATCTAATATATATCATATATTTAAAAAATTAGAATTGAACAATAAATATTCATTCAATTATTACATTACAATATATTTTTCGAGCAAATTCTGAGAAATTATTCGTTATGTATTTTTCCGTTCACGTGCAAAACGCATACATTATATTGTCCACGAAATTGTCATTATTTTAATCTATGTATTTACATTATTATCCACGCGCAAAGAATTTTTATATTGTGCGTATTTTTTATTTCATAATAAAATTAATTAAAATATGCAAACGCGGCTTGAGTTTAAACTTTTCCGATTTTTCCTAACTGCTTTTTCGAACAAATTTGGACATATCCATATATTTTTCTTCCACGCAATGAACTTTATGCATAGAGCTCTTACGAAAACTCTTGAACATAAATCGACGCCTGGCGGCGATATGAAAATAGGTCACATACGTGATTGCACGTGGCTCGAAATAATTAAACGCGGTGAAATCGATGATTGTTTTGTTGTGGCCCTTTCTCTTTTCGCGAGTCTGAATCTCGGGTTAAATTGTTATTTAGTTTATTTGCAAAGTATAGTAAGCTCGAATCACATCAGCCAATTAGATTTAAATCTATCATGTTAATGTACAAGTTTTTTTGACATTAACATGAATGAAATATAATATAATATTTGCAATAACTAGAGATATTATCGTTAAAATTGCATTATAGCATACTCTATATTACTGTACAATATTTATATGCGTGCGTGTATATGTTATATTTATGTTAATAATAAAATAAAATTGTTTATATATAAAACTAAAATTATTTTTATCGTATTTACTAATATATTGTATTGTCAATAAAAAAGATTTTTTAATTGTAAATAATTAATCTCAGAGGTAATTAAGAAGGCTCATTGTAAAAGTTACAAAAAATAATTAAAATATAAAAGTATTTTTGCTAAAGATCTAATACTCTCTTCGAAATTTTTCTATTGTCTTAATACAAAGATGATTATTATTAACATAAATATATAAAAAAATTAAAATAAAAGATCTATATTCTTCTAAATAATATTTAATTATCTCAATTTATATATTTATTAAAATATCTCTAGAGTCGCATTATTCGTTTATTCTCTTCCCAATCTCTCTGTTATCTCTCTCTATTAATTAATGATTAATAAACGGATAGATCCGATCGCGTGTGGTTTATCAGAAAGAAGAAAAAAGTCCTATCTCACGATTAATAATTTATTTATAATATATTTACACGAGAAGGCCAACCGGTTTCGATTGTAGAATTGCCGTGAAAGGATTTTTATGCGATACGATGGAACGATACGAAGGTGAGAGAGTTATTATACATACTTGAAGAAAGATCGAACTTTCGATATATCCGTGTATCTTGACTCGCTCAAATTTTTCTGTGTGGGTTTCTTTCTCTTGTTCACGGTCAATGCGTTAATATTGCGGAATTATATGTTCTTGAAAATCAGGGACACGAGATATAAGCAGTTAACACTGTACAAACTCGACATTTTGCAAACCGCGGAAATCTCTACTCCATTTTAATTGCACATATCTTTTGACATCGTTGCCGATTGCGAAAGTGCAGTTGGAGCTGTGTCACAATAGCAAAATACATACGAGAACAAAATTTAGATATTATACCAGACGAAGTATTACAATGATCGCAAGACAAAATATCGCGGATTTAAAAGTTGATGTTAGGAAGTACTCGTATGTACATATATTAAAAGTTAAAGTTAAAAATCTTAGAGTGCATTATCTTTTTATTATCGTTTTATTATTATTATTCTTTTATTATTTTTTCTTTTTATTATTATTTAATAAAATATTATTTTGACAAGCGTGAAAAGCGATGACTTATCTCTTCGCTAAAATTATGACTGCGATTGAATTACTTATTAAAATATACTTATGATCTACATAATTCAATAGATTTCGATATTATATTTTTGGCACAATTCGGAAAAGTTATATTTAGTGCAAGTTTATTTTCGTTATCGTTCCATCAAGATATACATTTACAGCTGACAAGTACAGAAGATAAATACGATA